GTATGGTGGTTTTCATCTTTAGTAAGTCAGAGGGTGGGAGTGTGGTTGCTCCATAGCAAGGTCAGCAGTTTCAAGCCCACCAGTCATTCCACGGGAGGAAGCTGAGGCTCTCTGCTCCTGCAAAGATTTATAGCCTTGTAAACCCTATACAGGGTCACTATGAGTCAGAACTGACTCCACAGCACAAGTGCCAACAACAAAAACTCAGAAAGTGCATATTTCTCCATTGGAAGTATGCTAAAACTGAGTGCTGAATTTCTGATCAAGAATTATACATTATACAAGTATTATATCATATGACTTATAAGAAAAAGTACTGAATAAGAGAATCAGAAACACTTATTTCTAGTCTCAGTTTTATTCCTAACAGACAAATCATTTAACTCCCTCAGAGCTCAGCACAGGGGATTTCTTCTTTTGACCATCAGGAGATCATAAAGGAACAGTAAAACTCTACATGTTTGTAATAGCCTAAAAGAGTAAAATTACCATCTCAAGCCCACCCCATAGCAGGCATGGGTAAATGGTGCACTTTGACTTACTGTTATGTAGGTGAGACATCTGAGTAGCAGGAAAGCTGAACAACAATTTTGAGGTTCCAGAGTATAATAAAGACCAAGTGGGGCTCAGTTTGAGCTTTGCTCTCCTACACTGCAAAAGCTGTCTTTCCTGATATGAAGAACCATCCTATCTTTAATTATAATCCTGGCTTGATTTATTTGCTCTGTAATTTTTTAGGGAATCTCCCCAGATCACTTATTTTTTATTAATTTTGTAGGTAGAATATACTTATCTGTAAAGTTGAGCTTGTTTATTTAGTCAAAATAATTGCTATGTGTATCACGTGCATATAGGTATCTGGTTAGAGACTGGAAGAACTAGGATTTAATCCCAGGTCATTCTGATAACTGCCTTAGTTATCTGGTGAGGTTATAATACAAATATCACAAGTGGATGGCTTTAACAAAGGAAATCTATTCTCTCACTGGTTAGGAAGCCGGAAGTCTGAATTCAGAGCACGGTCTTTGTCTCCTTTCAGCATCAGTAGGCCCAATAATCCTTGGAGATCTCCATATGTCTTAATACCAATAATCCAATACCACATACCTAGGAACTTCACAGTGCAGGGACCCCGGGTCCAAAGCAAAGGACACACTCCACTGCCGGCTCTTCTTTCTTGATGGCTGTGGGTCCCTCTTTCTCTGTTCATGTCTCTCACCTTTGATCTCTTGTAAAATAAAAGGTATTGCATGTCACACCCTTGAGAATCTCCTGTGTATCACATCAGGATGGAATTAAAGGTGATGTAGCTCTGGTAGCGTAATGGTTGTAAGTTGGGCTGCTAACCTTAAGGATAGCAGTTCGAAACTACCAGCTACTTCGTAGGAAAAAGATGAAGCTTTCTGCTCCCATAGAGATTTACAGCCTCGGAAACCCTATGTAGGGTTGCTATGAGTCAGAATGAACTCCAGGGCACACGACCACCACATCTGACCCTTAATCCTTTTACTGGTTTATCCCATCAGATCACATCATGGGGACCATCACATAACTGCCAAATCACTGAGAATCCTGGCCCAGTTAAGTTGAAATGAAACCTTAATTATCACAGACACCATAGTATTCATCTCCCTAATAGGAGGGAAAAAAATAGAGATCACAGATTAGTAAATATCAACACTGCCTCCATATTTTATTTTAACCAATGCAGTGGCTTCACCATTTCCTTTTAGCTGACTCTCTGTGAGAATCTAGTAGCAAAGTTGATCTAGCTGGGTTTCATTTTCCTCAGGTTACACATTGGTGAAAATTCAAATGAGTATTTAAGAGCAGAGAAATTGCTCATGATGCTCTCCAGAAAGGGAGGAGTGACAAAGTGTGTTCCCAAATGTTCCGCAAACCAAATAATTGGTCCTTGAATAACTATTTCATAGTGAATGTTTCTGCGTTATTTTTATTTTTGAAAAGATTAGATAATAAATTAATCTTCCATTTCCTGATTAAATGCTGTGTTGTTTTTTAAAAAAATAATACTTAGGTATGTTGTTAAGTGCTGTTCAGTTCATTCTGACTTATAGCCACCCTGTTTAAGGTTTCTGAGGCTGTAAATCTTTTGCGGGATCAGAAAGACTCATCTTTCTCCTGTTGTGTGGCTGGCAGACTTCAACCCCTGGCCTTGTGGTTTGCCGTTCAATGCTTATCCTACTGTGTTCCTAATTTAGGTATCCTGTGTTAAGTGCCATTGAGTTGGTTCTGACTCATAGAAAGTTGGTATAGTGTTTCCAAGGATCTGCTGGAGGGTTTGAACTGCTGACCTCGCAGTTAGTATGCTAGTGTTTACTCTGCAGCACCACACCAGGACTTCATAGAGTTAATGCATTTCTACTATATAGGGAGCATTACCAATGCATTTTTTTTTTTTTTTTTTTTGCAATTTCTGTTTCATTAATGATTTAATATTATAGACTTTTACTCAACAGCGTAGCTGATAGGAAACAATTTTAGACAGGGAGTCCTGGTGTGGCGTTGTAGGATAAGCACTGGGCTTGTGATTGCAAGGTTGGTGGTTCAAACCCATCAGCTGCTCCTTGAAAACCCTATACAGGGTCGTAATGAGTTAGAACCAGCTTGACAGCACGCAACAATAACAGTAACAGTCCTGCCTTACCTCCTGAGTTTTAAAAAAATGTTTATGAGGACTCAGTGTCTGTTGTGCACTTCTTCTGGTACTTAAGGGAAACAGATTTATATTTTATGACTGTTATCTTTCTGTGATGGTTGATGCAGTGAACTTCTCCCCAGAGTGATCCGTATTCAGGAAACTCTTAATGACATCCTTTAAACAGATGACACAGCAGGACCATACGAATATAGCTAGCAAGCTTTGTCCATTAATTCTGTGACTCGAACACATTTTAATTATCTTTATGCAATAATGCAAGTGCTACCTCATAGGGAAAAAACAAAACCCAGTTGTTACATAATGCAGTGTTCATACAGCCAGATCATTACTGCTTCAGCCATTGTTGTTAAGTACCATGGAATCGATTTGGACTCATAGTGACCCAGCATAGATTTTCCAAGGCTGCACATCTTTACAGGAACAGAAAGCCTCATCTTTCTCCCGCAAAACAGCTGGTAGTTTTGAACTGCCTACCTTGAGGTTAGCAGCCCGATTCGTAACCACTACGCTGCTTCAGCCGTTAGCCCCTAATAATATTCTCCCACTCACTCTAATGATACAGTGTACTCAGAATGCTCAAGTATAGACAGATGTTTAGGAATATCATCCCCCACTTCTTGCCTATTGATTGATTCCTACCCCTCCCCCCCTCCTTATTAGCATGCAAGATGTTTTCTTTTAGACTTGGAATCTTTAATTACATACTCTAGTCAGAAAAAGACATGCGGCACACCAGGAATTTGAAACTGAATGCTGGCACATCTTCTAGAGGCTTCTTGGCTGATGACCATTGACTGCGGTTACTCATGATCAGGGGCAGCCTCTGTCACTTTGTTTAACTTGTTACCATACAAGTTATTAGTAAAGAACATGCAGCTCTCACAAAGGAAAAGTCTACTATGCAGTCATTTAGCAAAAAACAAAAACAAAAGACACGGTGGTTTTAGTAAGGGATTTGGGGAAGACCAGGAACTTCATTGTAGGCTGGAGCAGATGCTGTAAGTCAGCTGAGCTTTCTTCTTAGGACTCACTGAGTGATGAGTTTTATTCTTAAACTGATGTCAGATCTGATACTGCTAGTGGCTTTTAAAAAAAGTGGAATTGAAGGAATAATTGCCTTGCAAGTGATGAAAATGGTACCAAAAGTTGATGGTTAAAGTCCATTCAGAGGCACTGTTATGGCACTGTAGGGTAAGTAGGCACTGGACTGGTAACCACAGTGTCAGCAGTTCGAACCCACCAGCCACTCTTGAAACCAGATACACCCAACTCAATGGAATACAATAACAACAGTAACAACAGAAGCACCACTTCATTTAAGACATAAAAGAATACACTCTTCTGAGAGAGTTCTTAGTAATCTTTTTTCCCTTAGTTACACTTTTTCTTATTGATCCCTGTGAGTCCAGGTTTTGATAATGCAGGATAATGCACTAGACTGCAAGGTCAGTTTGAACTAAAGGTTGGTGGTTCAAACCCACTAGCCTCTCCTTGGACACCCTATACAGAGTTGCTGTGGGTTGGAACTGACTTGCTGGCACTTAACAACAACAACAATCTAAAACTTAGGTGCTTAAGTACCATTTTCATCACTGCAAAATAAAGCTAGTTGCTCTTTCAGCTGTGTTCCCATCACACTTTATAAATCCTTTTACTGTGTTGAGGTCTTGCTTAATATAGATGACTTGAATAATAAGAGCTCAGTAATGCCTCCCTCTTAGCTTACTCTCCATCTCCTCATCATGCGCCTTTGTTTTAAATGGGCAGTGGATGCAGTCATGTCTAAAACAGTACTTGTTGGCCAAAGCCATGGAAGTGTGAGGGAATGATTTCAAAGGGTTCCTGACCATTGACAAAGAAGTATTCACATGGCAAAAAACAAAAAAAACAAAAAACAAAAACAACCAAAAGTGGCTAGTGACTTCCAATGGAATTGTCTGAGGCTACCAAGGAACATTATCTAGTTAGAGGTAGAGGAACACAAAATCTCCAATGTGCAGCTTTCCTTGTTGGAATTTAAGGGCATTTCAAAGGTAATTTTGGGTGTTTTCATACTACACTCATGTTAGTTGACAGCCCCAGGTTAGATGTGATTATCTGTCATGGCATTCATGTCATATTATAATTATTGTTTTAGGCAGATGTCTCCCTCAGTATATGTCTGGTGGAGGCAGGTCCAAGTCATATTCATCTTTCTCTGTCAATTGATCATTGCTGAATCAATTTGTAGGGGAACAAATCATCTTCTAGCCATCCACACACATCTGAAGGCAGTCAAGTGTATTTAATTATAGTTCTAATTTCCATTCCCTTGTGTTCACAGCCACCACTGGTCCAAGCAATCTTCAGTGGAGACCCAGAAGAGATACGGATGCTCATCCACAAAACCGAAGATGTGAATGCTCTGGTAAGAGACACTATGGTTGATGAGATGGTTTGGCCAGCTCATGTCCTTTTAACCTGTCGCAAGGGCTCTGAACCCTTCCTGCTCCATGGTCCCCATTGGTAGTCTCATGAAACCTCTGGACCACTTTTCAGAATACAGTTTTTAAATCCATAAAATAAATGCTAAAAATAAAATTTATGATATAGTAAATATATGTGCTTCTTTACTAACACATTTAAATAACAACATACATTGGAGTATCTATAATGATAAAATAGTAATGAACATGGTGTTGTTAAGTACCATGGAGTCAGCGCCAACTCATAGTGACCCTGCACACTTGAAAACAAAAAAAAAGTTCTTCAGTAAGTATAATATGATATGACCATACCTGTGATTTCTAATGGTAACAGTCCCAGGTACTGTGGATACTACTATGGTTTGTTGCTTATATTCATAATCAAAGGAAATCCCAGGTTTCAATGAGAAGTTCTTGAAAATAACGATATAATACCTTTTTTTTTAAAAAAATGGATCTCCAGAGCATGGACACCAGAACTCCTGCCCTACATCAGGGGTTGGCAAACTTTGGGTCATCACCTGTTTCTATATAGGCCACCAGCTAAGAACAGATTTCATTTTTTTTAAGTGGTTGAAGAAAATGAAAAGAATAATATTTTGTGGTATGTGAAAATTAGAAGAAATTTAAATTTCAATATGTTATATATAAACATTGAACATGGCAAGAACTATAAAACTTTTTCCAGCCTCTAAAAATTTTATTGGGAAACAACTGTGGTAATTTTCTTTCTTTTTTTGCATATTGCCATGGCTACTTGTGCAGTATGACCACATGTGGCAGGGATCACATGTTACCTGTGATGCCTAAAATATTTTCTATCTGATAGAAAACTATGCTGACCTTCTCTCTAGGGGGTTTATGAACCTGGAGCCAGTGCAAGAACTAAGTATGCTATATATTTTCTGTAATCATATATAATATGTGTGTACATTTGTGCACATACTAGGGGCTTCAAAAAGTTTGTGGGAAAATTCTATTATTTTTCTATCCTATTTTTCCTCAAACTTTTTGAAGCTTCTTTGTATATATTTATTTGTGAAAAGGGTCAGGCATTCTGTTAAATTCTTAAAATGGTCTGGTGTTTGTATGCCATCAAGTTGGTTCCAACTCATAGCAACCATGTATGGGGTTTCCAAAGCTATAAATCTTGACAGGAGCTGAAGCCTTACATTTCTACTGGGAGGGGACTGGTAGATTCAAACTACTGACCTTGCATTAGCAGTCCAGCTCATAAGCCACTATGTTACCAGGGCTCCTTTAAAAGGGCCTAACCCTCCCCCTCCTCCCCCCCCCAAAAAAAAAAAAAAATTAGAACCACTGGATATGAAAGGTCTTGAAACAAAAACAAAGCTACAATAAAGAAAGGTGGAAAGAGGTGGTTAATAATTTACCTTTTTAATAGTTTCCTAAGCCTGGATTGAACAAGCAATTATGTGCAGTGCATGCTACTAATTCTCTTAATGCAACCCAATTACCCAAATGTTTGTCCATCAAGGAGAGGAGTCTACTTTGAAGTCTCTATTGTTAAGTAGAAGCAACAGAAACAGTTGAACACATCTTTGCCATGGGGAAGTGAATTACGTGTAAGGTTATGTCTCTGTTGTGTTGGTTGAATGCTTTCTTCAGAAGGTGAGCCATTTGGTGTAGCCATTGTTCTATCATAGTGCAGGTTTGTATAGCTTTCTATGAAAGCTTTTGGCAGCTGGTACTAAAAACAACAGGACAATGTAGTAACATTTTCGCAAGGTAAGCACAGATGAAGCCAGGGACAGACTCCTTGAGAAGGCATTTGGGCATTAGTCCAGGGCCTGCAGGGCATGAACTGTACTTCTCAGAGAGCCAAGGCAAGCAAGCTGTATGTCCGGTGCCTGACAGCACAGCAATTTGCAGCCTGTTTTGTGGCTGGAACCCAAGCTCAGACAAGCCTAAGGCAAGGGAACTATCTTTTTCTGAAGATTGTTAGCAAACAGAACTTTTATTCAGAGTCACACACACCAGGAAAGATTGTACTGGGCTCTAAATGGCTTTTATTTCTCCTTTTGGAACTGGTAAAGGTTAGGAGAGCTTTACTTAACCTCTATTACTAAGTTAGGTAGGTTAACTACTGTAACACATTACAGCCTACATGTCTGAAAGCTCAACCATAAGGAAAGTTGATTTTTCTTATGTACAGGTTAGAGGGGTGGCCTTTCCCACCTAGGTTTCCTTCCAGGTGTCAACTTGTGGCTTCTAATCCTAAAATCACCCTAGGGATTAAATGCAGCCTAGTCCAGCCAGAGAGGGGAAAAAGAGCTTGAAGGAAAAACATGGGAGGATTTTTATGGGCCACCTTGGCAGTGACAAACATCACTTCTGCTCCCATTTCAATAGCTCAAATTCAGTCACATGGCCACATGTGCCTCCAGAGAGTTGGAGGATGCTGATGTTGGTAAGTAGTTAACAATCTTGGACACACCAGTTTTTGGTTTTACAGACTTCACTTACATGGCTACTTATGTGTCTACAGAGTACTTTATTCCTTCAACAATGATTCACTGAGTTCAGACTCTGAAAAGTGATAAGAACATAAAAAAAACACAAAAAACACCCAGCAGTGAAAAATAATTCTTTCCCTCTTGGAATTTGCAACATGGCAAAGAAGACATTGCGTGAGAAATCACTCTGTATGCATTTTTGAAAGAGGAAATCAAGGACACTATATAGGAGCTAAGGAGCTCTGGTAGTGTAGTGGTTATGAATAGGCCTGCGAACCTTAAGGTCAGCAGTTCGAAACTACCAGTGGTTCCACGGGAGAAAGATGAGGCTTTCTGCTCTCATAAAGATTTACAGCCTTGGAAACCCCATACAGGGCCGTTATGAGTTGGGACTGACTCCACGGCACATAACCACCAACCACCATATAGGAGCTAGGTAAATCACAGACTGCTGTCGATTATACAACTGGATAAACACTTGGGTACTAACTGAAAGGTAGAAAGTTTAATCCATCCAGAGTGCCATTGGCAGAGAGGTCTTGTGATCTACTTCTGAAAAAAATCAGTCATTGAAAATGTTACATAGCACAGTTCTCCACTGACCCGCATGGATCATCATGAGCTGGTATAATTGGGAGAGCTTGGGAGCAACTTTCTGATGAAGTAATATATAAATCAAGATCTGAGGGATAAATAAGAATTTTCATTGTACTTGTGGGCTGTTGAATGTGTGCCCTCTGGGAAGAGTGGGAACAAAGGGAGGGAGAGGAATAGAAGAATAATTGAGTGGTTGAGAGAATCAGTGAACAAAGAGACAGATGGCATGAGTTTCTCAGGTTGGTCTTTTGGCTCTTCCACTTAACATCTCTTTCACAGGCCCATTTCCTTCCCTCAGGTGAGTACAAAGAAGATCGTTTGACCACCCCACTCTATGCATCAGGCATGTTGGAGACTTTGAGCTGCCCTTGTCATGTCATGCTTTTCACTTCCAGTATTTCTTGGGACAAGATAGCCTCACATTAACTGCTTTGCTGGGAGTAGATTAGGTAGCTTGAGGGATGTGGTTGTTGACAAAGGGCATAGGGAGATGGAAGACGAATAAGGATTAGAAGTCTAAACCTGGTAGTCTCCCATGTAAACTATCACTCATTTCACAACAAAAGCTTAAAAAAAAAATCTAAACCTGGAGATGCATTCCACAAGGAAGGAGAAGCTGCTAACCAGGGCATTTAAATATCAAGGAAAGGAACTATCAGTGGAGGAGCTGTTAACTTGGAAAACAATATTTGTCTTCTTCTCATCTCCCCTTTACTTTTCTCTCTTCACCCCAATTATTCAGTACTTCATTTTGGTTTTCTCTCTTAGGTCCCTGATTTTCTTGTCTTCTGTTTTCTTCCCCAGTTCTTCTGCTTTTTGATTATCATATTCTCTATGTTATAAATATCCTTTGATTAACTGATCCTGATACAGAAAGCAAAATATTCAGCTTGATCTCTTTGTGTTTTCCCAAATTTTATTTCTCACTAGTAGTATTTATGAAACCGGTGCTTCAACCAAACCAAATTATTCAGCCCAATGGTGTCTCTTGTCTCTTGCCCTTTTCTCACCTTTCCACTTGCTTGATTCCTACCTGCTCTCCTAGACCCACTTCCTCCATGAAACTGTCGTAATTCTCACTTCATTCTGTTGCCTTCTCTGCCACTTGCCCAACCCAGCCAAAGAAGCTCCCCTCTTCTTCAAATTTTCGTAGCTCTCTGTATCTTATGGAACAATTTCCGTTCTACTCAAGCGTATGTCTGTGTCTTACTTCTCCTGAGAGACTGTGCTTGAGGCACTTTAGCACCCATTCCCATTCTATGTGAGCCCAAATCCAGACCTCACAACACATGTTGAGTGAAGAACGAGAGCCCCACATTATTGCCTATGTTTAGCCAATCTGTAGTGACCTATATTTCATTCTTCTTAATGAGAACAAGCTGTTGAACAGAGGGAGACTGCCCAGTTCTGTTAGTGTCTCTCAGGCCTCAGTTGTGTGATTGGAATGTTCTCTTTGTAAAATTGAAAAACTGAAGATAGATTTGAGAAGACATGGAAGGATCAGTAGGAATATTCTTAGTCTTTGTGGTTACTATGGCTATTGGTGTGCCAAGGACTGGAAATGTGAGATGACAGTTGTGCGCTCTGGGAAATCCATGTAAGTTGAACCAGATGAAGATGATAACTAAAAAGTTTATAAAGAACTGCATCTTTACTAACATCTTTACTTTGCTAAATTGAAATCAGGATGGAAAATAGCATCTGAATTTAAAATGAATGCAGAGATTCTAAAAATAAAAATACAATATAGGCCTTTGTGGGGGTCTATGTTATGACAACATGACGTCAGCATGACGCCGTTGATGAGTGGCGATGACAGGGAGGGAGCCATGCCACGTGAAAAGTGGTTGGAGAAACTGGTGATGTTT